ATTGATTTATTGATTACTATGAATTAGTGGGTCTATTTCCGTTCCGAATCCGACTTATGCTGGGAAGTGAGTGTACATCTGCATAGGGTTATAAATAATAGAAATATATTTTTTTTTTCTTAAATATTTACTTATATCATTTATGCTTTCTGGTGGAGGTAATGGTTAACATTTTGTTATTTCATTTTTATGTATTTTTTTTTACTTTGATGACGTTAGACGAGAGCTATTGTATTGATAATGTTTAAAAACGCGGCTCCACCGACCTGCTAGTCCGGCAGCATTTTACCAGAGGAAAAAGGAAGCAAACCCATTTTTGGTCCGCCAGAAGGTTTTTCTTTCCGGCGAAATGTTGGTAAGGCTAAAAAAAAGATTTGGCATCTTTCAGCATCATTTCTAAGTGTTTATCCAAATATCATGCGACAATATCTATAAGTTTATAGTTTTAAGTGGCTGGTCATAGTCTGGCACAACTTATAAATTTTGTATTCATATGATATTATTGGGGAAGTTTCATAGAAAAAGCGATGTCCCATTATCTGAAGTTTTGCATTTGACTATAATAGGATATTAATTTCAAAGCATCCTGCGCTATCCTATTTTTCACAGACTTTTGAAGCTACTACCTAATACTAATTACGGACTAAAAAAGACAATATCTCCTCCTTTTTATTAAACCACTAGAAAACAGACCTCTATCTACACAAATCAAAATAATAGATATACAGGGTGTCCCAGCCGAGAGTGACCCATTTTAAATGCTTATAACTTTTAAACCAGGTGAGCTAGCTACCTGTGGTTTGTGCCATTCGATTTCTCTTGGTCTAAAATTTTTTCCAGTAGGTTTCAAATTTTTTTGAAACTTGAACAGAGCGAGTGAAAAAAAATCCGTTTTTCAACATCGAAATTCTCCACTATTTCTAATGGAACACCCTGTATATCACAACGTCAAAAAAAAGATTCATGTTTAAGGTTTTCATGTACCAATAGACATCGTCCCTAAAACTTGAAGTTTTAGCCGAAAAAAAATCAAAATCGAAATCTTGGTATTTTAGCAAACGCATGCAACTTCATGTTGTGACTTGATATCATTATGGAAAACAATTTTGTAACTGTCTAGTTAAGATACATTTTTCAAGAAAATTTAACGAGTTCCAAAGTGTTTTCTCTGGAACTCATTAAATAGAGATACCCCAACAGTAATAGTTTGGTGTGCAATCTCTATTGAGAAAAAATACAGACCAATTTCATTGATGAACCAACAATAACAGAAACTGTATACAGTGATATGTTCTTTTTTCCTATAGGACAGGAGGTTATCTTGAATAATATCTATTTTCAGCAGAATGGTGCCCCCACCTCATTATTCATTAATAGCAAGGAAATCACTAGACTGACATTTGGGGAAAGACGGATAAGGAGAGCTGGCCTATAGAATGGACACCTTACTCTCTTGACTTGACAGTTCTAGACTTTTTTCTCTGGCGTTATGTCAAGGAAAGATGCGGCAATACTTTGCTAAAATAGCCTGGAAAATCTTAAGCGGAACATTTATAATGTAATTGAAAGGATTCTCCAGGAAATGTTACACAATTCATTCAACCATTTATTGATCCATAAATGCCTGGAACAGAATGGCTAACATATACATATACCTACCTACAGCATTTTGTATAGTTATATGCAGTTGTTATTAACTTTTGATTAGGCAAACATAAGGTCCAAGCTTTGAAAATAGGTGGTTGCAAAAATACCGAGATTTCGAATTTGATTTTTTCGGCTAAAACTTCAAGTTTTAGGGACGGTGTCTATTGGTACATGGATACCATAAACATGAATCTATTTTTTGACGTTGCGATATACAGGGTGTTTCATTAAAAATAGTGGAGAATTTCGATGTTGAAAAACGGATTTTTTTTTACTCGCCCTGTATAAGTTTTTAAAAAATTTGAAACCTACCAGAAAACACTTTAGACCAAGAGAAATCGAATGGCACAAAACGCAGGTAGCTAGCTCACCTGGTTTAAAAGTTATAAGCATTTAAAATGGGTCACTCTCGGCTGGGACACCCTGTATTATGTAAACACAGATTGTTTTCATTTATAATAACGATCCCGTATTTCAGAGACGGGTTTCGAAATACTAAGAAAATTGGCTTCAGGCAGTTTTTCGTGATGTTTGATTCTATAGTGTGTTATGATAAATTTATCATTTTCGTAACATGTTCCATTTCTTCTAGTTTTCATTAGAAATTTGCATTTTTGTCATTTCAGAATCAAGAAAATAATAATTAATTACTCAAGTAATTTGAAAAGTATCTAGTAAATTTAATTAATTCAATTTAATATCAGTATTGCCATCTATCTATAAATAAAATAAGCGTAAAAATGCAAATATCTGTTTCCACTAAAAGTAGGTACTAACACACCGCTCGCCATCTAGTACCTAATAAATTTATTTTGTGATAGGTTTCTTTAACTATTTATTATTCCTTATTGACAGTCATTTATATTTTTATTTGAAGAAATTATGTTTATCTCGCTTTCAGGAAATAAGTAGGTATATTTCTGATTTTCTCTAACTTCTGATTCTGAAATGATTATTTTTAACTTGATGGTTTTGTGTTTCTTACATTCTAGTGTGTTTTTATCTATTCCCATTTATTCAGCGTGGTGTTTCATTAATGAAGTGAGCACGGTCTTTTGTTTGTGTTTGAGTGATTTCTTCCGATTGGTACGATGGTTACTACGCAGTTAAGTATAAAAAAACACTGGAGACTGGTTTTCTTCAAGGGATTTGGTTCTAAAAAGGCCTTTTCTTTGGCATACCGTTGAACAGGCAAGTCCATTTTCAATTTTGTAATTTTTTTTTCCCAGATTTCTAGATTCTCCCTTAGTATTTTTCGTTTTATTTCACCATCAGTGTCTACTATCACTGTTGAGTTTTTATTACCTGATATCTTATCTACCTGAAAATATTAATATTATAATTTTTTTTAATCTAAAGTTACCTCCATTTTGTGTTGGACCACATTTTTTTTGACGTGAGTCAATTCAAAATTTTGGCAAATAAATAGGTTGCTGCTTTGGTTTTCGGAATCAATTGTTAGTGTGGGATCATTGGACCTTTTTCTCTAAATAGAGGGTGTAAACCGAATTTGTGTGTTCATCCCTATCAACACTTTACTGAATTTAGGCAGAAACCTATCTAGCCAATTATTGTTTGACTCCCTCATTGTTTTTCCAAGAAGGAGAGTGCTGAAAAGGTGAAGTTTTAAGATAGGAATATGGATAGGTTAAAATTAATTTGAAAAGTTTTGATTAAAACATCTCAAGAATTTTGACAGTTCCTTGGATTTAATTTATTTCTCACTCAGCTTTATTTTGTAGTACCAATAGTAGGTACCCTTATTTTTTTTGGGGAAAATCTAGAGATTTTTTTTCATCTTGTTGAATTTTTCCTACATTTTTTTTAAAATTTGTGCCTTTTCAACGCGACTGCCTGAGAAGCAGCATTCTGCTTAATTATAATGAGCATATATCTATATTCAATCTTGCTGTACTTACCTACTTTATTTTATTTTATTTTTTTAAAGTTATTTAATTGTTTTTCTATAAAAATATAAAATTTTCCACATTGCAATAGTTTACTTAATAATATCTGATTCTGTTGAAGGGTAGTGTCTGCAATTCAATAATAATTTTATTACTAACTAATTTCAATTTAAATTTTCTATGCAAGACACTCGCTTTTTGACAGAATTCAGGAAATTATTATTCCAAATCTTGGTGAACCTGATACTGCTTTATTCTTCTCTGGGTACCTATTCCACATAAATGATCACTATTTGTAGTCTGGATCAGCTCGAATGACGTCACACCAGCAATCTATCCTCTTTTCTGGATAAAGGAAGCAGCCCGAAAAGCTTCAGTTCACGGAAGTGAAACCCCAACATCCATTGAAGAGCTCCGGATTGGAAAGGTACCATCGTCACCAAAAGTATCTGGGGCACAAATAATGCATAATAATCTCCTGGACTAATTGTACTGTCATTCATTGCAATGCATTTAATTCATAGTTTGACAAATATTTGACAATAAAATTCATATAATAGGACAAGAGCTAATGTGATGCTGTCCCAGTTACTTTTGGTGACGATGGTACATATACTGTATCAGATTCACCAGAAAGACTAAATGCCGAGCTAAATATTCATCATAACTTCAAAATTCACATACATTTTCAAAATAAAATTACTGTTTGTTGTAATTTCAGTGGTTTTATTTGCACATAAAGGGCCTAAACGTTATCTTTATTTTGGAATTCCACGACCCTTTAGGTTCTCTTGCTCTAAATTACAAATAATTCTATTTATTTGTAACAATCTAAATTCTAAATAAGTTATTTATCTGTTACAAGTGACATTTACAAATTTACTGTTTCGAAAATACCGCTGCTGGCTTGTTTTTTGAAACCAATCTCTATTTTTAGTATAGAGTACACCAAAGTAAGAATGGTACACGCACGTGTTTCACCTCAAGTTACGCATTGGTATGTTCATCACGGTTGCCATAACAATGGCGAGTAGTTGGGTCATTCAGTACCGTACCTAAATCAGATCTATTTGAAAACCAAATGAAAATTATCGAAATAATAGTTTGCTCGCTGGCTTCGACGTCAGAACTGCGCGCAGACACGTGCGTGTACCATTCTCAAATTGGTTCTACCCTAATCGATATAGCGTTCTAACTACCAAAATACTTGGACATATAATTATTCACGTCTACACTGAAAATATCACCATCGCCAGAGTCGAATTTTAATGATACTCCCCAAATCCGTCGCTGAAATAAATATTGAGACCCTTAAGATAACGACAATTCTGTATACCAAATAATTTGGAGAAGTTTTCCTAATCAATTAGGGTCATACATTTTCAAGACTACTTCATGTATCGCTTTTCTTTAATAATATTTCCATAAAATTACATTATTACATACCATTATCAATATTACACTCTGATGTCTATTCTCCGTCATAAACGCTGTAGTCACCATAGCCAAAAAGAACCCATATGTAGCCACTGTTGTCAAATTTCTCGGATCCAAAAACGACTCTACCAATGGTATAGTTCCCATAGTCCAATCGCAGCAAAGATTGCAGGGAAAAAGTAACAACCACAAATTAACACCAATTAAATAATGATAAGTTAGTTGTCTTGTTGGCGAAGGTGCTACTGATGCAGGGTTGTCAAATCGTGTAAAAACTGGCAGCTGTGAGCCCATTATCTGAAGTCGGGCTAGTAGAAGAAGGATGCTTGCGGTAAACAGGGCCAGAAGTCGTTTGGTGGCTGCGTTGGACTTTGGTAAATGATAGCTAGATTTTGCGAGGACTGCTGATTTGAGAAAATGTTTGATATCTTCTAGTTTCACCTTAAAATATAATTTATTACAAATTTTTATATAACAAAAAAGTTACCTATTTGCTCACCTTTTGTATCACAAATATTTCATAGGCAGCACAAACACCTGCAATCGTAATTCCTTGTTCTTTGCACAGCATTGCCGTCGCGATGGAAACTATTGAGAGTGTTAGGTATTTCCATTCTAAAAATAGACAATTGATATACCTAATGCACAAAACTCATGGATTTTAAAGCACTTAAGCTTATAAATAATTTAATTCCAGTTCCCTGAGTGGTTTTGATCAAACATAACGACCGAAACTATTTCCGAAAGCGTCATTTACTTTCCTCATAATTTTCCCCTAAGTTTAATGCCACATTAACTATAAAAGGAAGCAAAACCGGAGAACCTTTTAGAGCATTAATAAAATATCCGGATAAGCGAAATATTTTCTATGTATAATAAGATATTGATTTAGAAGTTTCTGCTTACCTGTACATTTCTTATTTTTCGTTGCCTTAGAGTAAAAAAGAAAAGCAGCGAGGTAGAATACGGATGAGAGTGTTTCCGCTCTGCCGACTACGCCAGTCACCTAGAACAAAAAAGAAACCTTTTTAAAAATATATACACAAATAGAGAAGAAACTCGAGACATATAAACAATTGGAGCGATCAGATTAAGGGAGTTGTAGCCGAAAAGGAGAACTCTTACTTCTGTTTTCAACTGAATACGTCTTCAAATTACGATACCTCAGCGTAAACTTCTTTATGTTTTTTAGTTTCGTTATGTATTATTTACAAAAGCTTAATTTCCCCAAACTTTTATTATCGTATCAATGTATTTTTACCAATATGATGATATTATATACCTATGTTCCTTCAATCCATAAAAAACTTATCAACTTGAACATCAAGAATATTCTTTTCGTCACACTTCCCTTATTTCGAAAGAGACAAATTGATCCCAGTGCGCATTGTTATCACTTTCGCTCATGTAGGAACGTTTATATGAGGGTCTGAAAAATGAAATAGGTATATTGTTTCTTCGACTGAATTTTGAAACACGTCTAAAAGATAAATTTGTTCAAACTCAAAAGATGATGTATCGTATTTCATAAGGTTGTGTGGTTTACAGTGTACTGAATTTGAAATCAGCTTAACCCATTTAAAAAATATATTCGACTCTACATAATAAGTAACACCTATACATCAAAAAAAATTCTGACAAAAAAAGTCAACGATAAAGCAACAGAAAATCATATTTTTTTCATTGGATTCCTGGGGTGCGACAAAAGGAGAATTTCTGATTGAAAAAAAAAGCTTTTTGGTAAGTGCGAAACCGAATTTCCTTTTAAAACCCTCTGCGAGGAATAAGCCCGTTACGTGGGAGATCTAATAAAAGCACAGATGGAATGGCGTAAGAGTATTAAAAATTGAATTGAGTTAGATATTTTTGAATCTATAGGTATTTGTCGATAGAAAATCAAAATAAAACCGTTTTCTCCAATAATACCCAGATTTAACTTTAAAGTTAACTTAAATTTGAAAAGTACTTTTTTGAAAGCGTTCTCTTTTGTCTCTTTTCGCAGTTTTTCTTTTATGGATATATTCACCAACCTATTAATAGTATATTATGATATAAGTGTATAAGAGGGCATTTAAAGCACGCGCGACATATTTCAAAACACCACGCGCAGCGGAGTGTTTTGTAAGTCGCAAGAGCTTTAAATACCCTCTTATACACGAATATCATACGCTATTTTTTATTACGAATGCATCATAATCTCAAAAATGTTTTAAAAGTGTTCATTCAATTTGATAAGTAGTAATTTAAATGGCAGGTATGCAGGTAAATATCTAGGTAATGAAGGTTGATCGAACGTTTCTATAGCAAACCTTTGAAAAGGTAGACGCATCATAAACATCATTTTATGCACGCTGCAGCGTGCGATAATCGTTGATTATGATGCATGCGTAATAAAAAAAATATATTGAAGCGAATAAAAAACAAACGAGATAAAACCCAAAAGGGACTAGAGCAAAGGAATGTCGTTCTTCCAAAAAAATGGCATTAAGCCTTACGCCTTGTTATGCTAGGTAAACGGAATTTATATCTCCGAGAAAAATGACAAGTTCATCGTTTAAGTCCTATCGTTTTTCATACATGAGCTGAGCTAAAACAAGAGCAGTCACTGAGGGTGGAAACCATGAACAGATTAAAACGACAATAAACTAGAAAATTATGATGTAATAAAAAATAAAAGAAAGGTATACCACCATGTTTTTATAATGCATAAGAATAATTCTGTGGCTTGATCGAAAAAGGGCCTATCTAACAAAATCAAGTTTTGAGATAATCGAGGATTTGTATGAAAACTTGAAATGCTTATTACTTCATTGTTACTTTTTCGAATTTAATAAAATTTTGGTAGGGTCTACTAAAAAGCAGAATTATTTATATAATACATTTATTTTTTTTAAATCTTTTACTTTTAACATACTTTTGATTGTTAGGCCCCTGCATTTTTTTATCAATGTACATAAGCCCTAATTGTGATAGGTCACAAGTAGCACTTGGGACCTAAAAAGTGTTACTTAGGCCTTATTGTTAGTAAGAACGGTACTTAGGCCGTTTTTAATTCACTTGAAACGTTTTTCCTTCTTTTTTTTCAAAGCTACTGTTAATCAAAATTTGACTGAAAATTAAATTTCATTCAATTTTTAAAGAAAAATAAAAAAAAAAAACTAAAAAAAGGTTTTAAAAAAAGGCAAACACTTCTATTATTCGTCATATTCCACTGAACCTGCTGGAAGAACTTCATCTTCTTGGCTTTCATCGTTTAATGATTTTAAATTCGTAAAAAAGTCGACTATTGGTATTGGGATGTATGTAACACAACAAACTTTTGATTCATCCAGTTTGTTTTTGAGAAGGGGAAGGGGATATAAGTTATGAAATTTTTCTAAAGTGGGTTATGCTTCCGGCTTCACCTGATTGCCGTTTTTTCTTTCTTGTCATATCCCACACTTCAAATTCTTCTTCTTTCAAATAGCTTTGTTTGTAAATGGTTTTAATAGGATTATCCATATCTGAAATAGTTTGCGTTTAGAAACGACATTGGTTCTCCTGTTTTTTTTTTGCGATTTATGAAATGAGCTTTTTGAAGAAGACATGTATGAAAATCCTCCTGCGACATGGCAATCACTTTAATTCCCCCTTTTCGCTGTATAATTCTGATAAGTGTAGACCAGTCTCTAAGCATTTCTATGTCAATTCAAGTTTTTTGGCTTCTGCAGTTGCAGCCTGAATCGAATCTGCTTCGAGGATATGGGCCTATGTCGTACTTAAAATGCAGCAAAATTCAAGTTCTCAATTAATAAAGACCTAAGTAACATTTGAACCTAGACGACTAGAAAATAATTCATATCTATGTTTGAGTTAGGCCTGCTTTTGTTTAAGCGGTGAAATTAAAAAGGCCCTAAGTAAATATAGAACCAAAATTGTAAAATCAAATTAATCTAGGTTGCAGATAGGACTGTAAGGGATCCAGGTACTTTGGACCCATGCAATTGGACCTTTTGCTGCTTACATGTTTTCCTGTAAATCCATAGGCTTTTTGTTGGTGGTTCAAAAATAAAAGAGAACTGTGTGGTGTGTGCGTTTATTGTTTAATCCTTTGTAACGTTATTCCCTTATTGTTAATAACAAATATTATGTAATACTTCATGGTTCATATTAATTGTCATCTGGTTCACAGAAACTTAACCGATGTGCCTGGGCGGTTTAATATCCAAAGTTATCCTTTCCGACCCTTATTTTATTATCCTCAATTTATCTATTATTGTTAGGTTGTAGAATGTTTGACATACTTGCCCAACCAAATAGATTTCACTTTTAAGTTTATGAATGTGTGAACTTTCAAAAGTAACAAAGTTATAAATAAATGTGCAATATTGGGTCCTTTTGAGAATAATATGAAAACCCCCTTTTTATTGATATAGGATCTTGGCTGCCTTCTTGCTGTGCAGGAAGGTTGGATAAAGACATTCAGATTCCGAACTTGAGGCTGTAAACATTATATTTTAAAGTTCTAAAAGTATTCCTCTCTTAAATAACATAAACTCTCTTGAATAAATATAAACCATTTTGAATAAAATCGAGTTAACGTGTTTTACTTAATTGGTGTGAGTTTGACGGATTGAGTTCACAATCCCTCGTGATTTGCCGGTGAACATTAGGTGATCATAACATTGGTGTGGTTGGAGGTATCGTTACACCTTGTTGACAAACTGCTCTTAAGGACTAATCTAATCTTAAAACTTGCTTCTGGGCACACGTTCCACTTCACATAACAAAATGGCGGTGGATATGATAAAGGCTGAATAAATAATTCACAAATCAAACTCTTACTTCCTATTGAACAGTATTTGAGATACTTGAGGTACTTGAGGGAGTCTGTAGCACTGTATTTGTATATTAAATGTATTTTTGTTTTATTGTTTTAAAAAATATTTCTCGGACTATTGCGCCGGCAGCAGGGTGACACATCAACTCTGCACGGAGTATATCTGAGCACTGAGACTGCCAGATTAAAATCTTTTTATTGCGGTCAAAGGGATTTTTTGCAGACCCAGTCAGGCGGTGTCAGGCCGTACTAGGCTAGTCTATTTATAGCCCCTGTTTATTTTTCGGGTTATTTTTCAAGATAAGCATGAATGGAATAAAATCCGTATTTTGGGACTATTTTGATTATCAAGTTGAATTTATTTTAAAATTATTTCTGTTTTCCCAACAAGGACCTATAGGGAAAAAGCAGATAGAATGTTAAAAAGACCTAAGAGCACATAGACCAAATTTTTTTAGGCCTATCAATCACTTATGCCCATTTGAGTTTTTACACTTTATTTCTATAGGTAAGTAGATAATACCAATGAAAATGGGTCTTAACTGAACATAGGTCTTTATATGCATTATAACTTTTACACTTAGGTCCTTTTTACATTAAAATTTTGATAACCTAAGAGTTTTATCCGCTTAGGACCTTTTTCATTTGAAAGAGCACTATTTATTTGGTTAGTTAGGCCCAATAGCTCATTTTTTGAAAATTTGCACTTAGGCCCTTTTTCGACCAAGCCACAGAATTATTTTACCTAATTTTTATTAGTAGATTGAAATCATCCAATATAGTCTGATCAAATGGTGTTCAAAAGTGCCTGTTTCGTAACATGAAAACGCTAGAAGGTTTCTCAACGAAATTATATGTTTTTATTTTTAACCATATATGTAATGTTGACATTACAGTCTTTTTAAAAATTTGGAAATGTCACTTTACTGTCTTTTCATTTCCCTGCTCCACTTCCCGTCCCCATTTCCCGTCCTCACTTCCCGTCCTCGTTTCATTATATTTATGTGGCAGGTATTGTCAAATTTTTTTCAAAATTGATGACAATGACATAAAATTCAAGCAAATAGCATGAAGCTACGTTCACATTCAATTTCATTTCTAATTTAAATTAGCAAAAATTATGGTTAAAAATAAAATAGTATACTATGCTCGACAGGAAATTTAATTACTGTCTCGAGATATAGTTT